ACCCTGGATAAAACGTTCATGCCCGGTCCCGATTGGAAAGAGAAGGTGAACACCAGTATTCTGAACCTAAGAAGGGGTTGAGTAGAGTTAGCAGCCGCACATGGGCGCGTCCGGCATGGAGAGAGAGAGGGCTGTAGTGGCCCTACTCCGAGAGCCTGTCGCAACGCTGGGCCTCTCGCGAATGTCTGCACGTGCGTCCCAGGGGCCTTTCATTGGCCTACTTGGCTTTCCAACTGACCAATCAGATTCAAGACCGAGTCAGGTGTGACCTGGCCTAAGACTATTTGACGCATTCCCTTACGGACACTTGGGACACTGCTCTCCAGGTGCCGGAGACACTTTTCTCTGGCTCCCAACCCTCCTTCAGTTTTTCTGCGCAGAATATACAATCTCAACGGACGTCCCTCTTCTCTCTCCATTCGGGGTCGAGTCTGAAGGTTGTCGTAGCCAGGGTTTCACCTGGGACTTAGGTTTCTGCGATAAGGCCACTACAAGGGCACGAGTCTTTGTCCAACACTTGCCGCCCGCATGTATGGCAATTCCTAAGATCTTGTACAGACTCAATAGAGCCCAACTAAGGCACGCCATGAACTAATATGATCTTTACTTCGCCCTGGTCTGACGGCAACACAGTCAGTCTCGATGTCTCATCGCCCTAGGAAGACTAACGACAGCAATGGCCATTCCAATCGCCTTTTTGGTATACTTTTTTTTATCATCGATCGTTCACAGAAAGGCCTAAGTTGGAAGACATCCTTCACAGTCGGTCATGCATCCGTAGGCGTTTAACAAACGAATTTGAGGGGGCAGGGTTCGTGAATGAGCGTGAGGACACCTCTGGTAGGGTATTGCGGGGACCAAATTAATAATCTGTACTTTTATCCGTACACAATGCCCTAACTCGCCCAACTCTATTTTTCGTTATGCTCCACTCGGACGTTTTCATTCCCTCTAGTCCTGCCGCTTGCGTTCCATTCTGATGTACCAAAATAAATGCGTCCAGATTTCTCTTCCAGCTGGCCTTAAAATGCACCTGTCTTACCTTTCGAGATATGTTGAAAGCGGCTTTGCCATGTCAGATTAGGCCTTGGGGAGATGGCGTCTGCGATGATTTAGCATAAGAGTTTGCACTTAGTTGGACTGAACTATGTTGAACACTCCCTACGTAAGTGTCTGAGTTAATCATTGGCTCAAGGTTAGGGGAACACTTGGGGAATCTGGAACAATCACATAATTGCATTTATCTGCCATCAAAAGAGAGACTAAGGCGAATACGATCGGTCTCAAGCAGGAATACGACATTTCATATCTTTGAGTTAAGCTATTTGAAAGTATTAACTTTTCACGTAAAACGTTTCTCATGACACAATGGCTATATTTAATCAACAGGCCGAAGGTTGCCAATCACTCCAATTAACCGATACGCATTTGGATCGACTCAGAGTCTACGACAGAAAGCCTTGAAGGGGAAAATTGCAGAAGGAAGTAACTCACGCGTTGCCGAATGTGATGTTTATTCAACTAAAAACAGAATAACTTGAAGGGGAGAAGAACGTGCTCCCCTCTCACACCGCCATCAAGGTTGGTTTTTTGCCTGAGCGATTGAATACTGTCTGCTGCCTCGTCGTACAGCACGGGGACACTAGGCCAAGTGCGGAGAACCGACTACACCGCTGAGATGGGAAACGGGTTGGCCTGCGCCAGAGTTGAATGGTATCTGCACAGCCTATCTGCTGTTCCGTCAGACTCCTTGACTCTACAGTGCACGGTCGTTTCTACGCAGTTATTCTTCCCCGAAGTACCGCAGGCATCCGCGGGAGTCGGTGTAACTGCCCTTTCAGAGAGCTGACTTTGGTTGCTTTCTGACCTCTCCGGCTGGGGTCTGTCAGCTGTGGCCCTGTTACTCTGCGTGCAGCCCATCGTTAGTTGTGTGCAATCTGGTTTGGGAGGGCGTTGACAAGGTACTAGACGTAAGGTGGGCGGGATCGTCCCAGCCCACGTGCAGCGTCTTTAAATTTTGATATCGATTAGCGGCGGGGGACGCCAATGTTAGCACATATCCAAGTAAGGAAACGCTGAGAGTAAATCCTGGAGGAGATAGATCTAAACAGAACCGTTAAAATCTCCTGAAACTCATTCACACGCAGCAGAAGAGGGTACCTCGACAAAGGGATACAGTATAATATAACGAGACGGCACAGGAAGTACGTATAATGTTACTTGTGCAGGTAGAATGAGTTACAACCGTAGAATAACCTATCTGGGTGGAGAGGGGATACCGACATGCCAGCTCATTAACCGGTAGGGAATGCAGTGCTGTGGGCAACTGCAGGGAAGGGCCGAGGGAGGTGCCGATGTATCGAGGAGGAATGCGATACGAACGTTACGTTACGGTACGGTGCGGGAGGAAGGGATCGGTGGAAGAGAGAGAGAGGAAGGGACACCGATGATCTTCACCGACACGCGGCTACGCCATCTCCACCTTAGGTCCTCGCGCCGGAAAATGTCACCATTTTCAAACAATCCTGTTCATGTCCAGGGACGTTACAATATGTTTCGTACGAAAAGGTGACCAGAATGTCTTTTACCTGTCATCAGCAGTATCAGTTCCACACAGACACCACACCTCATGGGTGGAAGTTTGGAAGGCAACATTTTCTTCTGTAGGTGGATGGGGGAAGCATACTTGCCTCTACGACATTGTGTCTAGACAACGGCGGGCAGTTCCGATTCATTCGACACACCTAGGTGTCATGCGGTCTTTAAAAAACTTTTCCCCTCCAAAGAGGGGACAAACAATGTCTACAATATTGACAAGAGCTCATTTTTCATTTTAAGAAGTGCAACGTGGGTCGGGTTATGAAAAATCAGCAGATTATAGATAGGACCAGTGATTGCACTAACAGAAAAAAAGAGATTACCCTGAAGATGCTACTGACAAACGTAAGTCGCAGCTTTTGTCCACGTGGCCGATGGCAACTGGAAAAAACAGCCGTTAATGAAAAACAGAACACACCGGTGACTTAATACACCAGGCAGTCGGGGGCGTTAGGTTAGAACGCCGTCAGAGGTAGAAGACTGGGGCATCTTAGAAGAATGATCACTACGAACAATCCTTTTCACCTGTGGACATTTTTCCCAAGAGAGTTTGAAAGTTAGTGAATATTGTCAATTAGCACATCCAGCTCGATTATTATTACCAATTCTCTTGCCATCTCCTGCATCTGCGAGGTTCGTCAATGAGTTTGGGTGATAGAAATGGTAAACCTCTTTATTCAAAAGGCAATTTGGCGAGTATACGTTGCTTTCGATAAATTTTATTCAGGGCTGTACATTTATATGCCTATTGAAGTAATGAATCAAAAGCAGATAATTAAGCTCCCAGCAGGGTTAGAAAAGGGACAAATAAAGAACATCAACAGCTCAATCCTCGTGCACATGGTTGACACAGACCACCGTGTAGACGCCAGAGAGGCCTTCAGAGAGTGATTTACAAGGTCCCATCAAGCTATCCAAAACTGCTTGGGCAGCGCTTGATGGCCACGACAGAGGCGACTATAATCAGGCTACGCGGGCCGATCCTATGCGCACAGAAGAACTTCATACAGTTCCGACAGTTGCCATGGCTCAAAGCCACCAAGCCAGCCACCCGCATGTAATTACCTTCGCCGAGACCCACCTTCTCCCTGGCGCTGACTGGAATTGTGGTGTTTCACTCTCCCCCTCCCTCCCCAAACCCGAGCTCCAGCTTAATTATCTACTTTCCCGTATATTTTAATTCATTACTTCAATAGTCATATAAATGTACAGGCGTGAAGAGAATTTATCGAAAGCAGACGTATGCTCACCAAATTGCCTTTTAAATTGCACAATGAGAATTTTCGCAACTATAAAACTTTTCTATCTAAAATCCACAAAAGGGGTGTGATCTCGAAAAATGACCGTTCGTTTACCAGGTAGATAATTTTGGCCGGACACATCATCGCAAGGCCGTCAAATGGATCAGCAAGGTCGCGGCCGCTCCACCAAGTCTGAGTCGTTACCCTGTACCTACACTCGCGTGCATTCAGTTGAGAGGGTAGACGGACTATGAGACCCGCCATAAATTCTGCTCTTCATCTCCGATAGCACTATTAACTTCGATATATCCGTTAGTCGGGTCACCACAATTAAGTTTGGACGAATTAAAAAAATGCCAATCAATTCTATGCAATTTTACTCAGAAGGGACTGAAAGACGTGCACATAGACATCCGAGAAAGAAATAAAGTCGTTTAACTGGTGTTTTGGCGGACTTTGATAATTCATCCAAACCATTTTTGCATAAATCGATGGGATTAAAACCCACGGCAGCAATGGCAGAGCTTGAGTACAGCTCACGCTCTGGTCACCTGATTTACGAGGCCCCACCGGGACCCGTGAGTTTAATCACATGTGGGTTAAGTTACCGGCCCATCCTGTTGCGACGTATGGAAACGGCCGATTCTGATGCATTGAGCTGACTGCGCAAGCAGAATTTCCCAAGCAATCAGTGTAGAATCCATCGGATTGGTGTTTTAGCCGCATCCCAGCCGTGCTCTTGCCTTCGTAGGTTCGAATCCCACCGATACCACAGAGCTTTTGCATTACCGTCTTTTGTCGAACACAAGACTCACATGCATCTCCACTCAGTGGAGAATCGAATTCCACGGCCATATCCGTCGGTCAACAGATATCCGACATTTTTAGTAGTGTAAAACATTCGTAACTTCGTTTACCCCACACCAGCTTGTGTTTAACGCTTTTAATAGGTGGCCTAGGTGTTTGTTCTGAAGGTGTTTGAGATCTAGCGGTTGATATACCTCACCGCAAACATGTTACAAGATCAACCAAAGTCTTTTATGCGGGAATAATTATAATCATATTAATATGGGTAGCCGTAAGAAAAGTATTCCCGTTGGTGATATATAAAGCCGGGAATGGAAGGCCTAGTCAAGAAAGCAGTACAGCTCGACAATAGTGATGAAAATGCGATTCCCGGGTGGCATATCAAAAGAAAAGGAGGCGTTCACCGGGTCTGACGTTTCGGGTAGTCGTTTCTTCTACCCATCTTCAGAGACTGAGCAGTCGTGCACACAGCTTTCCTTTTTACGGCGCACTTTGTCCAATGCCTGGCCCATCAATGCCGCCCGAGTGGTCAAACTGGATGAGATGAAGCTCCTCCAAAAACTCTTCAGAGCCAACGGCTATCCGCGAACATTCGTTGAACGGAGCCGAAAGCAACCAAGGATGCGGAATGAAGAACCTATTCAGCCAAAATCGTGGCGGAGCATTCCATACATGAAAGAGGTCTCCGAAGCCGTAGCCAGATCCCTCGCGCCGTTCGGAATAGGCGTTGCCCACAGGCCCGACTCAACAATCCGACGGCAAATGATGCGGCCAAAAGGCCCGATCCCTAAACAGGAGATGTCGGCTGTTGTCTACCGACTTCAGTGCAGCTGCGGAATGTGTAACTACGTTGGGGAAACCGGCCGACGGCTGCAAACGCGCATGCACGAGCATAAGTTGGCCGTGCGAAGGTTGGACCCAAAGTCGGAGGTAGCAAACCATGCCGCCCAAATGGGACACGTTTTCAACTTTGACGCCGTTGAAATTGTGGGCCGAGGTGATGATCATACGGCAAGGCAGGTGGAAGACGCCTGGATGTCTACAGACTGCTCTGTCAACCGCCACATCAATTTACCTCCCCCTTATCTGGTTTTACGGACATTCTTGACGGGGGACAGTCACGGCGCAGGACAATCGGGGCCGCCAATTATCACCGCGGCCGACGAAGATGGGCGGGATTCAGGTCACGGTGACATGCGGGTCGGATGCAGCCACATAGGCGGCATTGATGGGCCAGGCATTGGACAAAGTGCGCCATAAAAAGGAAAGCTGTGTGCACGACTGCTCAGTCTCTGAAGATGGGTGGAAGAAACGACTACCCGAAACGTCAGACCTCAAATACACCTCTCCCGGTGAACGCAGTACAGCTCACTTGTTAGCCGGGAATTGGTCTAGGTTAATTACGGTCGTCTTACTAGCTAGACTGATTTGCAGGACACGACTAGGAGTACGCTTCATATTGCAGGTGGCTAAACGTTAAATTCCAGACGGTTTAGGGTTGGGGATAGAGTTTGGAATTGGGGATGGGTAGCCCCTGGGAGTTGGCGCGGGGCCGTGTAATAGGAGGTAGGGTTCTTACCGTATCCAACCAAGTGACTCATTACTTCTCATGATTGATTGGATTGGGATGACAGAAATGCAGCACTTGGGATTTCTGTTGGGAATCGAAAAATGAGAGATCCAAACGATGGCATTTTCAGACCAGTAATATTTAAATTTACGGAAAATCGAGGGAATAAGATTCAAAAACAAATGTTGCCTCGAAAATATTAGCCCGTTTTCTGTTGTTAAATATGTAGAGTCTGAAACGACCCCGCAGCCTAATTTGTCAATACTTGGCTAAGCAAAACATGGGAACATTTGTGACTGGAAGGTATAATAAACCCCATTAGTGCTGCCGCATTTGTCCCTGATTACGAGCACTGGGGACTTTTGGTGTTTGTTTACACTAGCTTGGCATTTACAGTCTCTTTTCAGAGCTGGGTGCATTCCAATCAGTTGGGATGTCCTGGCTAGTATTTATTGGCGAGATTAGTTAGATGTTCATAAATAAGCATCGGGACCTTGCTATCGGAAAATTGGCTGTACTGGACAGTTTAAACACGAAATCTCGATTCGAGGGCTTAAAGCCCGCCACTAAAATGCACCATGCGGTAGATAGAGTAGATGTGCTAACTCATGAAATGTCAACCAAAATTTCGAAATGCGTTATCGTCTCGAAAAGATAAATTAAGTAGAGTTATAAAATTAATCATGATGCAGCATAAATCTATAATGATCCAGTTACCTCAGGGGGTCAGCTTTCGAAGGAAGTTATTTTCGGCTGAATGCAAGATATATACTCTGCAGAAAATGACTACTTAAGTAGCGTGCAATTTTCTCATTGATTTTCGATACCCTTGAATATTCAATTATATTTCACGAAAAACAAGTATAAAAGTATTCATTCTTTTACTTATTCGGTAGAAAATCACGTCTTCGTCCAATTCCATACTCAAAAGAAGAGTATAAGTCGATTTTAAGGTACTTTTCTAATTCCCGAATAATATTGAACCCGACCTGCTGTTACACTTGCAGTCAGGCTTTCGAAACTACAAGCTGCATATTTCCGTGTACGGAAAACCATGCATTTCTCTACGGTGTTAAGAAGAGACCATATAAGGTTCATAAAATCAAGCAGCCGATTTGAGCAACATTGTTAACTTTGCAAGCCACATTCGTAAATGCGGATACATGACGTTTCATGAACGGCCATTTAAAGGTATTAAAAAATCTCACAATTAGAATCTTTTTAAAAACCGAATTATACTCTTCTTTTGAGTATGAAATTGGAAGAAGACTTGATTTTCTACCGAAAAAGTAAAAGAATGAATATTTTTATGCATGTTTTCCATGAAATATAATTGAATTTTCAAGGACATCGAAAATCAATGAGAAAATTGCACGTTAATTAAGTAGTCATTTTTTGCAGAGTTTATATCTTATATGCAGCCGAAAATAAGTTCTTTCGAAAGCCGACACCCTGCGGTGACTGGATCATTATAGATTTATGCTGCATCACGATTAGTTTTACAACACTACTTAATTTATCTTTTCGAGGCGATAACGCATTTGAAAATTTTGGTTGACATTTCAAGAGTTAGCACATCTACTGTACTTTGGACCACCACAGGGGCCAAATCAGCGTGCGACAGACGTTATTTGGAATGCGTACCCATAGCAAATGTCAACATTTGTGCTGTGGTGGCACGTCGAGGTGCATGCCCACGCCGCATCAGTTGGGGTCTAATTTGCCATCTTGTTGTGTAAAGTTCTGGTCAGTGTACTTTATGAACCAGGGAGTGTGACTGTACGCCTAGCTGCATGTTTTCGCCGTGCCACCCACCTGCACCCTTCTCCGTCTCAGGCCCTGTCATGGCAACTGGAGCAGACGGGGGAAGAGGAGAGAGAGCGGGAGTGCGGTAGATGCCAGCAAAAAACCAGCTTTCGCTATAACAAATTCTTGCGCATGTCACCGTCCCTGTTCGTAGCACACTGTGGAGCACACAGTGGACCTAGCTGAAACCAACAGCCGAAATGCCATTATGAAATGTTCTGCTATAAGAAAGCACCCGAAGAAGGCCACTGCCCCATTTCACGCAACACGTTTAGTCGATTGTACACACCTTGTGTACACCCGTAATGCTTGCGGGCTAAGATGACACTTATGAAACTCAAGTTTTGCTATGTCTTCATATCAAAAATGAACTAGTTGGCTATGTAGTTTCAGGTTGGTCTACGCCTGACAGCGTTCTTCTCTGTTTTCCACCCAAACAGTGTTCTGCTGAAGTAGTGTGCATTTTCCCCTTAATTTTCAATGTTACTATGATTTTTCCAGGATGTAGGAAGCGTCCAAACATTAGAATGGCAATATTGGCAGCGAAATAACTTTTTATAAACGAAATATTTTCCGACGGGAGTACTAAGACTCACTATTGAGATGCGCGGTTCAGTGGCTTTTCTGTGCTGAAAACTTCCGTTTCAGCACTCGAAAGGGGACTGGGTATCATTGAGACTGACCAGTCCACGTGTGCAGGCTCATCGCTACAGATTTGTTCGGGTTTTTGAATATCTATAGACACCCTAACAAGAGCGACGCAGATCATTAAACACACGCAGTCTCCACCGAACTGCGACACACGCATAAACGCCACTGCCATTACATTCTCTCTCTTTACCAGGCATGGCTTAGGACCGTCAACAGCGACCAGTACCGCCGGAGACATCAACTCCGGCTTCTTCGGCCGTCTGATGACTACTGCGTCCATGTAAAATTACTACTGCTACTACTACTACTACTACTACTACTACTACTATTACTACTACTACTACTACTACTACTACTACTACTACTACTACTACTGCGATTACTATTACTACTACTGCTGCTACCATTTCTACTACTACTTTTGCTACCATTACTACTGCTGCCACTACTACTACTACTACTGCGATTACTATTACTACTACTGCTGCTACTACTACTGCTGCTACTACTACTACTATTACTACTACTACTACTACTCCAGCTCCTCCTCCTCCTCCTCCTACTACTACTACTACTACTACTATTACTACTACTACTACTACTACTACTGCGATTACTATTACTACTACTGCTGCTACCATTTCTACTACTACTATTGCTACCATTACTACTGCTGCCACTACTACTACTACTACTATTACTGCGATTACTATTACTACTACTGCTGCTACTACTACTGCTACTACAACTTCTACTACTACTACTACTACTACTACTGCTACTACTACTATTACTTCTACTACTACTACTCCAGCTCCTCCTCCTCCTCCTACTACTACTACTAGTGCTACTACTACTACAGCAACTACTACTACTACCACTACTACTACTACTACTGTGATTACTATTACTACTACTACTACTACTACTACTACTACTACTACTAATACGACTACTGCTACTGTTACTACTACTGTTACTTCCACTACTACTGCTACTCTGTCTCCTTCTCCTCCTCATCCTCCTGCTACTACTACCACTACTACTGCTACTACTACTTCATCTACTACTACTACCCCTGTTACTTGATTGTTTATATTTAGTGCGGGTAAAACCAAATTTGGTCTGACCAGATTGCTTCATTTCTTCCGGATATTGCTTACATGTTCAGTAGTCCGCCCAGTCGGGCTGACATCGTATCTCAAGGGTAGACAAAGAACCTGATTTAATTCTTTGCCTTCCCCTGTAAGTTGCCTTTTACTGCTACTGCTGCTACTACTATTACTATTGCCATAAGCGTTGCCACCATGGGAGCTATGTGTTTACCCTTAAAGAATATGACCACAAAGCCTTGCCCTGGCCTCCAAAGAAAGCATGACTATTTATGAGTACGAGCCAGGAGAGTGCAATTCATAAACCAAAAACAAAGAGTCGCACTGACTAATTTGAAGAACCGTCACCCCTTTAGTTTGGTCTGTCTGTCTGTCAGCGCGATGCTGCAACGTATGATGAAGTTTTAGTAATGCCACACCCTCAGCTTCATGAATGTTTTTTGTCAAAGAATATTAGTTGAAGACATAATCGCCAATAATTATAGTGTCATACTCTAATTTCTGCTGGATTTCGAGTCCTCCAGCACTTAACTGTCAATTATCCAGCATGTGATACAGTAATATGCAAATATCACAATATATAATTTCGAACACTCACTTCTAACATCAGAGTTTAAGCGTTTTCCGCATCCTTAGAAAGCGATGAGAAGGTCCACATCCACATCGCTCACACAGATTGGTAGCGCCATCATTGTGCATCGGAGAAAACACCGTTGTGGCTGGCAATTCGCATTCAAACGTCAGCCGAATCACAAATTGTCAATTCCTGCCTTCTTGTCGACAAACTGTCGTTCTATTTTCAACAAAACCCATGATTTGGAGCTACTTTTGTCGAAAAAAGAACACAGCAAAACTGAAGTTGTTTGCCTTCAAGAGACGTGGCTTAATAGTTACATTGATTCGCAACTTATTACTCCCCCATCCTTCTACTGGTTTCGAACAGATAGAAAATCTTTATCTTGTGGCAGAGGTGGAGGCGTTGCCATTCTCGTTAATCAAAATTGGTGTAGAGACTGTAAGTCCCTTTTTTCTAACTCTGATGATTTAATAGATGTAATCGCTGTTTTATTTAAGCCCCGTTTGTTAAGTAATTTTAAAGGCATCATATTTGTTAGTATTTACATTCCCCCCTCTTCATGTGAAGGCGCATTAACCCGTTTTTCGACTTCCTCTCACAAAAACTTGTTATATTATCCTACGACTATCTTACTCTCTTATGCGGTAATTTTAATCGCGTGAATTTACGTCCCCTTACACTTTTAGGCTTCGATGATCTTGTCTCCTTTAATACTCGCGCAGATGCCCCTCTGGATCGTATTCTGACTAACCACAGCAAGCTTTTTGCGTAAAAAACAGGGCTCCATTGTCAGGTTCTGACCATTCCACTTTATTGTGCCTTCCAAAAATCTATTCCACTTCAAAACGTGCACTGCTTGCCAAGCCTGAGAGAAAGGTTAAGGTTCGCAACACGTCCGCCCAAAACATTCTCATGCTTCAGACTTGCATTTCTCTTACTATCCCCACTTTCCTTGAACATTCTAATGTTGAATCCTGTTCTTCCAACCTGACAGCGTTTTTAAATGAAATTTTCGATATTTGCTGCCCTTTTGATACTGTTATGGTACGACCGGATAGAATTTCTTCCCCCTATCTGAAATCGTTAAGACGTAAAAAAGAACTCTTTTACAAGCTAGGCTTACGTGATAACCTTAAGGACGTTACCGTCTTAATAAAAACAGAGATTGACAGGCTAAATAGCCTGTTTGTCAGCCAACATTTTTCCTCTTCTTACTCCCCCCCTTTCCCCCCTTCCTCAGCTGAGATTTGGAAAAATCTTAAGCGTCTCACTGGCCATCGCAACACGCTGGTGCATGTGGATGCAGATTTAGACTCCCTAAATAAAAATTTTATATTTAGTCACAATGACTCCCATCTTCCCTTAGAAGACATTCCCCTATCACCGAGTACATTCCAACCCGTGTCTTTGGCAACAGTAGAGAAACACCTTAAAAAGGTCCGTGGATCAACAGCTGCCGGACCGGATGGTGTCTCGCCTTTTCTTCTTAAATCTTGCAGTTCTCAGATAGCCCCTATTTTAACGCACCTAATCAATATGTCTTTCATGGAGTCCAAGATTCCCGACGCCTGGCGTACAGTGAGAATCACTCCCATCCCTAAAAAGCCTGCTAACTTTGGTCCTAAATCTTTTCGCCCACTTGCCTGCTCCTCTGCAATACTAAAGATTGCTGAAAGAGTTGCCCTAGATATCATAAAGCCTTTTTCTTCCAGTTTTTCCGACCCCTTACAATTTGCATACAAAGCTAAACGGAGTACTTTAGATGCTGTCGCTCTTGTGGTCCACTCTGCTCTAAAAGCATTAGACAAGGGTTGCCGCGAGTATGCGTGCGCTTTTCTTGATTAATCGTCCGCCTTCAATACCGTCCCGCGCCCTCTTCTCCTTTCCAAAACCTCCGTATGTGGCTCTCCAGGCTGGGTCGTCTCTTGGCTGAGCGATTATTTTACCTTCCGCACCCAATTTGTCCAATCTGGCAAGCGGAAATCTTCGACCCTTCCCAACGACTGCGGTGTTCTTCAAGGTTCCATTCTATCCCCTCACCTTTTCTCCCTCCACACTGATGATCTCAGGTCCCCTAATGACTGTCTTCTGGTCAAGTATGCTGACGATGCGGTTGTTGGACACCCTCTCAAAAGTCAGGCACACCTCCGGTCTCTAAAGGATGGCCTAAACCATGTCCTAGCGTGGTCGGAGGAAAATGGTCTCCTAATTAACAACCAAAAATCCGTTCAGTGTATTTTTCGGCTGCGGCCCTCTCCTAACCCTGATTCCTCTGACATTCTTCCTAACGAAGTATCCTCTTTTAGGTACCTCGGCGTTACTTTGTCCTCAAATCTTTCTTTTTCCCTCCATATTGAGTCCCTATTTATTAAAGTTCGTAAACTTCTTTACTACATACGTCGTTTACGTTCCTACCACACACACCTCAACCCTTAGTCTGGCGATTCATTGATGCCTGCATTCTTCCTCTTATCCTATACTGTTCTCCTGTCGTTTTTCCTGCTTTGTTAAAAAAGAATCTTTTAATTTTGAAACGAATCCTCCGCATGCTCTCTTCTGCTGCTGGTGTTTCTTATATTTTTTTGTTAACACAATCTTACAACGACACTTCAATGCGGTCAAGCAATTTGCTGGTCGAATTCTAGATGACGTCGCCCATCCCCTACATTCCGATCTTATGTCTGCCAAGTCTTCCCGCCCGATGCGCCGCAACTTCCGTCTTATATCCTGTCGCACATCGGCTTATCGAGCTTCTGTATTGCCATTCCTAGCGCGCTATCTTACGTGCGAAGAGACAGAAATACAGAAGCTAAGACTTGAACTATCCCCATAATAATCGTTTCTTTGTGTTAAACTTTGACTCTTGAATGATCTATTAACTTATTTACTGCCCATAGTGAATGGAGCCAACTTTTTGCTGAAAATTTTGAACATATGATTTCAAAATAAAGCGCATTCCTCTCTCTCTCTCTGTACCCCTACTTTAAAGTCCAAGCCAGATTTCAGCATGTAAAAGGAACAAAATATACCCTTGCGTTTGTGGTCGAAGCATCCTTCCTGTCAAGATCAAAATCGGCATTTTTTGAGAATTCCCCTCAGCGCGCACAGGGGGATTAGTCGATTTACATGCCAACTTGAAAAAAGTCTTCTCCATCTAATGACACTTAGTATCCAACGCATCACATGACACTGCCTTCTTTCAGAAGCTTGACAATGCAACCAGAGATAGTTTGGATAGGGCCGTTTTTCCGGAGGCGTCATTTCTCCATTTGTTGCAATATAAAGTACTCAGGCAGGGTGAACTAGGACCTACGTTTGCTGAAAACTAGATGTTGCAGCAAGCGCAAAAAGTTGGGATGTGTACAGAAATAAGGTACTGCTGATTTAGTGATCTGCCGAGTGACTTTGGCGCTACTTGTTTCCTAACTATCACTGCATGTAGATGCTTCATTTTGGCTTTCAAGGCCCTCATCTAGGCTCTATAAAAAACCCCATCTTGTGACCCTTATAAAAATCGATACCGACGCTCACGTGTATTGATATGCACGTGCAATAAATTTGAAAAGTCACAGCTAACCAGCCGGACGACAGGATGGGCTGCTCTCAGGGGAAGGAGCTTGCGGAGGCCGCACAAAACGAATCCAACGTTGAAAATAATGCGAATGAATGCCCTGAAATTCCGGATCCAGTCTACAAGTTCTGCTGCTGTACCTGCAAAAAGCGACTGACACGTCAGCAATACCACGAGTTGGAGTTTAGACGGAATACCTGTCGAAATTCCGAACGACTCATTAGCATGCATAAAAGTCTGGTATCCACGAATACCATGTTGCCCAAACTGCCGTCACAGTCCACTACGCCTAGGTAGATGCCCCGGTCCGAACGACACCGAGTGATTCTGCCGGGAGCAAACGAAGGACTCCCGACTAAAGCTCTGATCTGCCCTAGCCACTGTCCTCTGGTTCAGCACAGCTGTCTTGTCTGCGACTGAATTCACTGTGTCCTCCAGATGAACTTTACCTTGCATTCATTTTCTGTGAATTTTGTGCAAACATCAAATCACAGACGTTTCAATTATACGCCTACCTTGGGCTTTTTTGGTGGTTTTTTTCATATATATTGTCTGGAGGCGACTAGACCAACGCGCCTCCGCCATCTACTAAATACTCGTTTTGTGTGGAAATGAAGGAATATTTACAGCACCGACGCAGGAGTTTTTTAGTCGTCCAAGACCTTTATTACGTTCCAAATAACAAGAATATCTAACATAGATGAGGGAAGGATCAAGCAGAGCCTAGCCGTTATGACAGAGCGGGCGGGATCGGATCCAAATTGAGACCTTTAAAAAATTCATTTTGCGGTGTTTGTTAAGGCCTATTCTACAGCGATTTATGTGGGTCTGTAAGGGCTCTGAAGTGTCTGGAAAGTTGTGATAAAACAGCGATAGATGCTAAAATGGTCGGTATAGGTCGGCAATGCGTCAGACCACAGTGGTTCCAGAGGTGAGGCCGAAAGTTGCTCATGGGACTGCTGGAATTAAAAGGTCCATTTGCCTAGCTGAAGAGCAGAAAGCGCAGCAGAAGCAGAATAGAACAAGCTTATTCTGTTTTCCGCAAAAGTTAGTGTTAGAAGCATGTACATATTTGCACAGGATCGAGGAAGTAGTAGTGGGAGTGTTTTAAAGAGGAAAGAAATTATGAACTGGCAGGCTAATGGTTATTTGTCAGTGTCGATCAGCTCTCATCAAAAGCTCAGAGAACTTCAACAGATTCTAGGCGAAGGATGACGATTAACTTGCCAGCCTTATGCGGAGTTCGATTTTCGGCTGGAATCCTAGGTTTCTAGGCTATAATTCTGGGTGCTGTCTACGATATTTCACGAAAACGCCTGCGTTTACCTGCTGACAAGTTTGCCCATGTTTTGCTGGTAAGTGAGACGCAATACGTTTGGACAAGGTATGATTGCTGATGAAATCCTCTGCACATCCATAAGATGAGATGCCTCCAGCGGGTGGGCTTAAGCACGACAGGCACTAGAAGGCTCGAATACTAACAAGATAAAAAACTTACAAACAGGAACTGCAAACCTTCCTAAAGCGATTCATCAACGGGGGTGGAAACTCGATATTTAGCGTTTGTGGAGGATCCTTGACCACCGGACAACTGAGCCTTAAAGGACTGCATATTTTAACCCCAAAAGGAAGTTGAGCGATCAAAACTCGCTGAAATTCTCCTTTTAGAAACTAAGAACCGGGGGGAGGAATTATCTCACTCTCTAATTGCATATTAGACAGCGAACGTGTAGTTTTCGATCGAGTAGTACCATGATTACTACCGAAATAGTACTTCCCCGTGTCGGCCAGCATCCTGATAGTTCGAATGTCGCAACCTAGGGCCTCTTATTCTGCCTCTAGGGCTGGGCTCGGCCGTCGTACCCTGTGCATGGAACTGACTTGTGCCACACATGCTCTATTCTCTGCTTTCACGTCTCTTAAGCTTGGATGTAAAGGGCGACATCAAGGCGGTGGGAGTTGGGCATGCGCGCAATGGCTGAGAAGGCATAGCTACCTCTCTACGCGTGCCACGCACGGGCTGGTCCAAATTACACGCGGGCCGAGCTAAACCAAGTGTCCGGTCTGACCGACCTTCACTGTGAAGCTTATGTACCTCTATAGGCTGAACAATCGCCAGTAGGATACCAGTGAGACAGTATTGTCTTGCAGCGAAATTCCGAATACACAGGCCAAAAGTGAATGACTGTCCCGCTGCAAGGTGGTCTCCACTCACTGCGCACTGCTGTTAACCCCTTATGCATTTACAGGAAAACTATCAGAAGCACGCCAGAAAAATCTCATTCAAAGGACAGATGGTGTTATTTTCCAGCGTCAGCGTGACTGGCGAGACGCCGCCGGGGGAGATGCTTACAGTTCACACTCACAGGATACGTGGCCCTTGGACTGACGAGGCATGCGTGTGATCGGAACAAGGTCGTGTGTGGCACGCGTAGACGGGGAGTGCGGCTCTGTCGGCCGTTACGCACACGCCCATCCCCACCGTCCTGACTTCGCCTTTACATCAGAGCGTGATTGGTGCGAAAGCGGAGAGTTAGGTAGGCGTGACGCTGGTCTGTTTCACGCGCAGGCCACCCCAAGAGGTACAGTTGGGGGGCATTGTTTGTGACGGTAGGACTCTCAGGGTGCTGGCAGGCACAGCAAAGTGCCTACGTGCGACACTTATCCATCATCAGAGACAGTTGCAACTGTCTCTGATGATGGATTCAAGAGAGAATCCGAAACGTCAGGCGAATAAAGCCATTGTTCCAGCGATCGCTTCTTCTTCTGATCAACTAGTTCCTGGAACTCGCATTTTCGCTTGTATCGGCTCATTATCTTGTCGGCTGCCCAGAAAAGTATGAACTTTATCGTCTTGACGCTAGGCGTTTCTGAATGTCGCCCTGCAAAATACCATAGCTCTAAATACCCATTTCAGATATGCAAGTCCCAATGACCATTTCCACCTAGGAAGGACAAGTTGGTCATTAAAATGTCCTAAAGTTCAAAATAACAGGGCGGGTTCAAGTGGCATATACTAAAAAAATTACTTGTTAGCTAAGAACGGTTATTTTTAATAAGCCACAATACGTTCCTAGATGAGTTTTAATTTTTGTCTAGTGAGCGATGACACACTGGAGACACTGTTTAGGTGAGGTAATGTGTTGTAAGGCCAGGGTGCGGAAATCAGAGGCGCACATCATGCAGTAGATGCGCTACCTCATGAAATGTCAACCAAAATTTCGAAATGCGTTCTCGTTTCGAAAAGATAAATTAAGTAGTGTTGCAAAACTAGTCAGGATGCAGCATAAATCTATAATGATCCAGCTACCTCAGGGTCTCGGCTTTCGAAATAACTTATTTTCGGCTGCATGCAAGAGCTATACTCTGCAAAAAATGACTACATGAGTAGCATGCAATTTTCACATCGATTTTCGATGCCCTTGAAAATTCAATTATATTTCTTGGAAAACATGCATAACAATATTCAATTTTTACTTATTTGGTAGAAAGTCAAGTCTTCTTCCAAATTCATAGTCAAAAGAAGAATATATTCCGCTGTATTCCCAGCAGGAGCGTAAGCGCATCTACCGGCAGGGGACCAGGTGTCAGGGAACTGTCGGTGCATGCGAGACTGCGAGAACCATGGTTTTCTGATACTGGCACAGCACACGCTTGCAGGTCTTTTGCTCATCTGCATATGTTGGTAGTCGCTATGCAACTGTCTGTGAGGGCTCTTGATTATGCCGCGAGGCACAAATGGACGAGCATGCCCTGTTACCTGGTCGGTGAGTGCTTCTCCATCATATATATTTATAGTGAAATCTTCGGAATCCTCAGCGATTTTGACAATATGCAAGTGGTTTGCATTTCTTTTCATCCAGAAATTCAAATCGATAAAATGTGTGTGTATGTGTTTGGGATGTAGGGGTGTCCAGTTGTGGGTTCACATGATGGTCTTAGTGGTCGCTTACTTGCTTGCAGGTGAGACTACGCCTAGCGTCCATTTGCTGGCACCAAACTCTCACCTGTGGCTCCACATAGCTGGGCTCTGCTCAGCGGCCACACGCCGGGCAGCCGTCTCGACCGGCGGGTTAAGCCAGGTGAGGGCGGTTACTCCCGGTGTGCGTTGTACCACGTGCACAGGGTACTGGGGATCCACTGGACGGTCGGCCGGATGGAACTTTGCGTCGGCTCCGTCACGACGAGGCTCCGCCTGGTACGCCGCTGGTCAGCCGGTGAGGAGATGGATATCCGAAACAGCATCGCAGAGACGCGCCCATCTGGTGCGCCGTATGAGACCGCGGGCTTACGGCGATGTCGTAAGCCACTGGCAAATTCGAGTCCTTCTTCCACTACCAAAAAGACGTGGCCCATGGTGGAGTTCGGCCCTGCCGGCACATTAAAAGCAGCCCTATTCAGGGGGGCACTGCTCGCCTTCGGGGGACCTGGAAAAGCTGGCCTAAAGATTGCTGGGGAACCACGTCGTCTGCAGGCTGACCGTGGTCATAGACGTAAAACTCACGATCGAATATACCAAAATCGAAACAACAGCAACAACAATAATACTCGATCTCCTCCTCATCCTGCCTCTTCTTCCTCTTCCTCTGCCTATTCTTCTGCCCATTCTTCTCCTTTGTCATCTTCTTTTCCACCTCCTTCCCGCCGCCCCACTCACCGTCATCAGACTGGCAGGGTGAGCCCGCTCACTCTGGCAGCCTGGAATGTTCGTTCCCTTTGAGACAATCCGAGGACCAACCGACCGGAACGGAGGGCGGCGCTAGTGGCCCGTGAACTGGCGCTCTACAAGGTGGACATCGCCGCACTCCGCGAGACTCGATTCTCCGAACAATGCCAACTAGAGGAGGTTGGGGCCGGCTACACCTTCTTCTGGAGCGGTCGCCCCAGGGCAGAGCGGCGAGACGCGGATGTTGCCTTCGCTATCCGGAACGACATCGTGGGACGACTGCCCTGTTTGCCGCAGGGCATCAACGTTTGCCTGATGAGCTTCCGTCTGCCTCTCCGGCGGGGGGGGGGAATTCGCTACCATAATCAGCGCCTACGCGCCGCCGATGAGCAGCCCCGACGCCGCCTCAAGAGACAAATTCTACGAGGACCTGCACGCACTCTTGGGGACTGTGTCGAAGGCGGACAAGCTGATTGTCCTTGGTGACTCCCCGCCCGCGTTGGCACAGACCATGCTGCCTGCAGAGGAATGCTGGGTGCCCATGGTCTCCGCGGCACAAAAGACAATGGTCTGTTACTTCTCCGCACCTGCGCAGAACACCGCCTCATCCTGACGAACACATTCTTCTGTCTGCCGGAGCGAGAGGAGGCCACCTGGAGGCATCCTCGGAGGCACCCCACGCATGTGGGAAAAGTGCATCTCGACTCGGTCCCCATGCGGTTTCGGCTGCACGGGTGACTTGAGTCTGAGACTACCCCGACACGTCAAGCGTCGTGGAAAGGAAGGTGGCTGATTGACGTCCATACTCGGTCCACGCAGTCCGTCCCCTTGTGTGTGTGTTGTGTGGAGTGGCGGACTGGTGGGCAGGGAGACGGGCTGAAGCGGAGCCTTCCACAACCCTCTCATGCAAGTGAGAGCCATCCCCGTTGTGTGAAATCCTGGTGTATGCGTGTGCCTGGGGGGCCAGTTCG